ATCCCTGCATTCTTTAAAGGACCCCCCCATACACACACCTCCACTCACAATATCACTCATTCTCACAGGTAGAAGTATTATATCATAATGGTCAAAACTGTGTCCCAGAAAAGGAACAATAGCTTGCACTTAAATCTTGTTTCATCTACTGGCTGTTACCCACTGGGCAAATGAATATATGTGTGCCTCAATTTCATCATCCATAAGATAAAATAATTATATTTCTCTCCTTATAGGAATATTTCATTAGCTAACCTTTATAAGATGCTAGGAATGCCTAGTACATAATAAGAATTCATTAAATGTTAGCCATTAGTTTTTATTATTTGCACATAAAATGTTCCCTGGAATAGTATCGTTCATTTTTCTGGGTCATTTTTATTCTTTGTTATGATTTCTGGAGCAAACATGGAGCCAGACATTATCTCTGACACCTCCCATGATGCTCTGCGCATATACCTGATTTTGTTCTCTGCCTAATTTCTTCTGTAAATGAGCATGATGAAACCATTTAAACCACCTAAATATATTGTCTACCATATAAATGTTGCACTGTGTTTTGAATAGAGAGTAAATTCATGTTTCATATAGGTAAAGAAATAGAACTCTCTGGGTAGTGAAATCATTTTTGCTAAAGATAGTAAACATTTAAGGGGGATGAGAGTGCAATAAAATACTCTCTAACTTGAGCTACACCAAGGCAAATAGTATAAAAATGACAGCATGGCATGGGCATGGTGCTGGACTGAAAACCAAAATGCCTCACTAATGAAGCGACTTCATCCCAGTTTCTTTCTTAGTGCTGGGGTGGCAGCGCAATGGGAGAGTGCTTGCCTAGCAGGTGCGCAAGCCCCATTTTGTCCTCCCACAGCACCTCCTTTGGTTTCAGTTGCTGCTATTGTCACCATCGTAGCCGCAGTTAGCAGCACGGGGGAAGTTCAGGACCACAGTGTTCTGTTCAATTTCTACTGCTGCCTGGTTACTTTCCTTCAGGCAACCTGCTTGCCTTCACTGTCTCATGGTTTGCTCACAGTGCAAGGGTCTGGATTAGACCTTTTTAAACACTGTGCAGGCCAGCTTCTTGGGATGCCACAAATGGATTGTAGTCTTTGGGGCATCTGGGCAAAAACTGGGGTAGGAGGACCTTTTGCCCTGTTCTCATGTCTGAGCAGCCTTATCCATGACCCTAATGCTCCATACAAAGAGAATTTTCAATGTGCACCACAATGTGGAAGGGACTGGAAAATACTATTCAAATGTTTCCTCCATTCTAACAGCCTCGGTTCTGATAGGCATGTGTGACACTAGGCAACTTATTTAGCTTTCCAAGCTTCCATTTCCTCATTTAAAAAAGATACACTCAAAACTATGAGATTGAATGAAATACATACTTTTCCAGAAAGTGCAAAATTATAAGATTATTACTTTGTTTAGTGATCTTTAACAAAATGAGTGTACAATTGTAAAAATTACTGCCAGAGGAATGGAGATGTTGATCATCAACATTTGGATGTTAGACACAGCAGAGTCTAATTAAGAGATATTTTCATTTGCTGGGTATTGGAGTGTGGACAGTACACAGTCACTGGATGTTGTCCATGTCTGATGAAGACAATATAAGAGGCAAAACAAAAGAATAGATTAGCAGTACTTTGATTTATATCTTTAAAAGGTAGAGAATTTCTGCACACACTACATTTTTAGAAATCAAATCTAGTTTTGATTTCATTGATATGTGTACACTTTGAGAATACTTTATTTCAGATCAATCAGTAATTGGTTGTAGCTCACATACATGCTCATCCTGTAACTATTTTTACTCTGATTTTCAATAATTTTTAAACAACTCAACAATCAGGAGAGCTGTAATCTAAAATAAAGGACATAAGGGATACGCACAATCTCTCATTTAATTGTTAAACAAAAAATATGTTGATCATCTATCTCTGTTGCAATGTGAGAACATCAGGTACTGTTCTATGGCTGGAGATAGAGTAGAATAAAGTTTGTTTTAATGGGAAAAAAGAGAACTAAAACCGATTATCTCAGGTACAGATAAGTACACAGAGCAGAGCAGAAGGGCAGAGGATAGAGGATGCTCTTTTGAGTAGAATAGTCAGGGATTCCCTCTCAGAGGAAGTAATAGCTGGCATTCCTAAATGCACTAACTGACAAGCCATTGCCTACTAAATTTTGTTTATTATATTTAATTAAAGATAGAACTACCTTTACTACCTCTCTAATAAAGTGGCTTTCCTTTCAAGAATGGCTTTGACCATTCTATAAGAAATGATGGAAGATAAAAGAATGACTCTCCCAAACCTAAGTCAAGAATGTGACAGGAGTTACTAGGTAATGACGTCTGGGCATAACCTATCCGTGGCAGAGGCCTTGGGTTATGACCCTTAGGATTCTTTTTATTTTTATTACTTATTCTGTGTTTAGTAGTCTGCTTTTATGATTCATCAGTGCCATTGTCAACTAGTCAAGGGGGAGGGGACTAGCTCCTATCCAGTCAATCAGAAATGAAATCAGGCAACAGTTGCTTACTCTGAGGTGAGATTAGGGACAGAAGATGCTTTTGACAAATACTCTGTACTTTAATTAAAGTTTAGCATTTCTTACACAAAAGAAATAACTGATAATATATTATTAGAACTTGCCTACTTAAATAAATAAAGTCCCACTGCGAGAATTTTGAAAGACTTTGTTGCAACCGTGAATTATTAGTCACTGTTTTCCTTTGTTTCCCAAGTGATATTTGGCACATGCTCCTCCTCTCCAGCTTAGCCTTTTGAGTTGTATGGGGGGGATTCTGGAGCCTCAAAGTGGGCATCAATCTGCATTTATCTATTTTTAATTGTTATATTTTTTTCTGCAGCCTCATCACTTGCAGTCCCTGGCTTTGGTGGAAAGTTAGAACACAGGTGGTCTCTGTCACTACAAGAAGGGTCAGGATAGGTCAAGGACTGTGTGTCCTTTGTTGTCCCTAAGTATAATTTGAGAGACAATGGAAATTTCCTTTCCTATGAGAGTGGTGATGACATTTTAAACTCCATCCCAAGAAAAAGATTCTGCTGGAAAATCTTGCCCCTGTGACATGCAAACATTTCAGAGGAGATTGGGTGCATTTGGGGTAGGATGACTGTAGACAGGGTGGTATATGGCCATAGACAACAAATTTTTGGGGGGAGTTGTGGTACTGGGGATTGAGCTCAGGGCCTTGTGCATACTAGGCAAGTACTTTGCCACTGAATTACACACCCACCCACCTAACATGTAAACATTTCAGTGAGCAGTAGAGCTTCAAGATTGCACTCCTGGGTGGAACTAGAAAGAAAGTTTACATCTTCTGAAATAGGGCTTCTCAACATATGCGTCCTTTTTGTTCTTTCAGTTGTACATGGGACACTTGAACTGAAGGTATAAAAGCAAAGGTCAATAAAAATGCTGCTATCTTGATTTAAATAAAGGCAGTCACACCAAATGACATTTTCAACATTTATACATGCTAAGCCAACTTGTGTAGACCTGATACACATCCACTAGCTTTATTTAGGAATATCCTTAAATCAGTAGACTTTAATTTGATTGAATCTTGACCTTCAGTATATATCTTTCTAATATTCTGGGTGGTGGAATGGGAAGGACACATAAAGCACATCTGAGTCTATCAAAACCCAGGGTGCCAAAGAAAATTATGCATGGGATTGGTTTGCAAGCTGAATTAGCAACTTCCTTTATGGAACTCTATTTTTCATGAAAGGATAACAACCCGAGAATCCATGGGTTTGCAGCCTGGAGCACTTGGCAGACATTTTCTACAGAAATGAAGTAAGCTAGCTTCTTTAAGGAAAACTGACAGCATTTGTTCCCAATGACGAAATTTAAACTCTCAAACAAAAATTAGAATTTTGAAAAACTTGTATTTATCATCACGAGCTTGACAGCTTCCTAATATTTATAGATTTTTTTTCTGATGAGATCGGTGGTGATGTTAACTAATGTGATGTTTTCATATTATATAATGAAAAGTGTCAAAATTTATAAGATCTGCATAACTCATTGATCTGATATTTTCAAGATGACCAATGCATGCTGTTTCAAAATTGTGCAGGGTAAAAGATCATTCACTCTACAACATAAAACACTGGATTTTAATGTAGCAGTTTGTGGATACAGTTGCAGACGCTACGCTGTAACTAACCTTTAAGAAATTACCATTTGCTTAGGGTGGTCTCAAAGGCAAGAATCCATAATTGTGATGACAGATTGTAAGAGAAGCAAATCTGAGAAAGCACTTCTCTTCTGCTAAGCCAGACTTGGAAGAGATTTACAAAAATTGCAAAGCAATAGCACTCTTTCTTGTTAAACTTGTTTCAGAACATATCATAATTGTCATAAAATATTTGTGTTATATGTAATGGGTTTAATACTGTTATGTTCAAATAAAACAATCATAAATTTATTTTTTTTCCAGCCTCAGTTTCTGAAAGGGCAGAAACCAATAGATACAAGCTATGTAAACACATGCAGTGATGTGATCATTTATGAGAGTATAGGAATCTGAGACATATTAGAGACTTGATGATCTAGAACTGATCCCTTGGTTCTATCAGTCAGTAACTAAGGCCATGCTGGATGATGTGACGTATCTGCTGTGTGACAATCATGTCTGCATTGTCCCTCTGTGAGCCACTCTTCCAATATTTTTCCCACTGCCCAACACCACTAGACATCACTACTTTTTTCACAAAGAAAGTGATTAACTGAATTCCAGCACAACATTGTATAGTAAGGTTCTTCTGGAGGTCAGAGGATATGGGCTTCCTCATAGACCAGCTGAGGGGCCCAGGACCTCTTCCAGGTTCTCCGCCACCTACAGTAGGAATCAGAGGAGACAAGGTTGGCCTGTCAAGGAAGGACGTGTCTCCTTCAGATTTTATGCCTCTTACTCTGGATACACTGAGGTCTTTTTTATCCTTTGGCTTTTCCTCCAGGGAGTTTGCACGCTGGAAAGTGAACAGCCTGGCTCTAGAAAGAAAGGACTTCTTCAGCTTGCCTTTACCTCTTGCCCCAGAGTTTGTTCGTAATATCCGCCTCCTTGGAAGGAGGCCCAACCTGCAGCAGGTTACCGAAAACCTGATCAAAAAGTACGGCACTCATTTCTTACTTTCTGCCACCCTTGGAGGTAAGTGGTTGCCAGATTATTTGAGACATCTTTATGATCTATTGAACGTAGCTCCAGCTGTCTTCCTGGGTATTTTTCCTTTCCTGGCCTATTGTTTCCTGATGAACACTTCCTTTCCGGTGTGTGGGAGAACAGTTTTCTCTAGGCATCCACATTCACCCCAGACACCTCTATTTGCTTATAAGTATCTTCCTAAAGAGGGGTGTGGGGTAGACTGGGGACAGAGATTCCTACTATGTACACACCAGCAGGGGGCGCTCCCAGTTTTCTTTTGACTGAGCCGTTTAACCCCAAGGCCTTTCCACTTACTGTTTGCTATGGCTACAAATGTCAGACTCCTAGGCAAAGAAATAGATGTACTTTGAGTCCCTAACTTCTGCTTCCTAATCAACCAAACTAACTCCACCTCTTCTGGGCTCCTGAATCACCCCCTGGTAGGGTGAGGGTAGGGATGGGGCAGTGCCTCTGTGACTGGGACCCAGGGTGGAGCTGGGAACACTGAAGAGACACAAAGTCCTTTTCACCCTGAGGAGAAGAAAGCAGGATTTATTAAAACGTTTGACTCGCTGGCTAATGGACAAAAGGAAGCTCTCCCAGGGTTCAGGCCAGCTGTTGGTGTGGGGTAGGTGTCAAATGTTTGATGGGGCGGAGGGAGCTGGAGCTTCAAGGCTTCTCTTGCCTTTTCTGAAGGGGAAGAAATAGCCTTGGCAACTTCTCATAAACAACTCGAGAGAGATTTTTGTCTCCCCATGGCGGTAGATTGCCTAGGACAGAGATCAATAGAGAATGTTAGATAAACTGAGGGTGAGGGCGGGGAGCTCTCAGAGACTAGAGGAGCTGAGGGGAAAAAAGAGAGCCTCTCAGGAGAGAGACCTGTGGCCCTGGGGCAGAAGCTTGGGAGAAGGCTGCAAAGCCAGTGGGATGGGGGGCACAGAGGGCCACAGCAGGGGCCGCACTTCCTCTCAGCTCTGTCAGCCCTGGCAAGGGTCTCTGGTTCTCACTGGTTGGGGAGCCTGAACCTATGAATCTATGGTTTTGCTCTAGGAGAAGAATCTCTGACCATTTTTGTGGACAAGCGGAAATTGAGCAGAAAGACAGAATCAACAGGAGGTGGCTCTGCTGTTGGGGGCAGTGGGAACAACTCTGCTGTGTCCCTGGAGACCCTGCACCAGCTGGCAGCCTCCTACTTCATCGACAGAGAGAGCACATTGCGGCGGCTGCATCACATCCAGATTGCCACAGGAGCCATCAAGGTACAGCCCTAGAGGTCGTGGGGGCCAGAGCCTACACCTCCTACACCAGCCCCGGTCAGCTAGACACGATGGAGGCCATTCAGCCTGCTGCATGCAGGGACAGGCATGCACTCCCAGGCAGGGCCTAGCTGAGGGGCTGCTGCACTGCTGTGAAAGGCGGCTGAGGTCGTTGCCCCCACACAGTTGCATTCTAGTTTTAGCAGGGGGTGAGATAACAGGTAAGACAACAAACTAGTTCAGGTAGTGCTATAAAGAAAAGGCTGAACTGTGAGGAACATATTGCCCAGAGTGCGAGAAGGAGCTTATAGTAACAAGACCGATCAGGAACGGTGCCTTAGGATTTAGACTTTTAAGGCTGACTTGCAAGTGATAAGAAACAAGCTGTATGTAGAACAGAGGAAGAGGGCCTGGGCAGAGGAAACAGTAAGTGCAAAGGACCTGAGGCAAGGATCAGCTTGATTCCTTGTCAGGGCACAGGAAAGACTGCGGTGGGGGCAGAGAGGTGAGCAGAGAAGATTGGGGTACAAGATGAGGTGCAGGAGTTGGTTAGAGCAAGATCACATGGTCATGATAAGGAGCTTTGATGTAAATAAAAGTGGAGTCAACAGCCATGGCAGAGGTTTAGTAAGAAAGTAACATACCCTTATGCACATTTTAGAAAGAACAATAGTCACTGGGGCTTCATTAACCTATGTGTAATCTCCACATAAAGAGAAGGTTTCACCTGGCAATCAGATGAAAGCTCTTGAGCAATGGCAATATGCAACTGTCATGAAGGTGACCGGGAGCCTTCAGGACAGGGGCTTCAGTGGCAGGAGGGTCCATTGAGCTGAGTGGGGAGGACTCAAGAGGAAGCAAAGTGAAGAAGTGGATATGGGTGGATGTACTTTCTCTGGAGAAGCAAGCAGAAGAATAGGTAAGATTAGGGTTTCTTTTTTTTTTTTCCTGATTGTTCAACTTCCCTGGTGCAACAAGAGGCAATGTTTTCAGCTAAAAAGTGAGTAAAAAGGACAGTTGAGAAGAGAATGCATAACATGGTATTCTCAGAGAGAATGGGATAGAAATGTCAACTAACTAGATAAACCAGTGGATTTCCAGGTAACACTAAAAGACCATGTGAAATTTGTGGTAATAATTACAACACAAGTCCAGTCAGCAACATTGTAAGTTACATCAGCTGTTTTCAGCAGTTCATAAACAGGCAGGCAAGGAATAGGTAAAGGGTTGGATTAATCAGGATGTGTGTGTATAGGAGATGAAAACAAAGAGGCAAGAGAATTGAAAGTGTATCAAAGAGTTGTTATAGTGTTGGAATAGAGAATCTAAGTCAGGCTAAAAGGGAAAAGAGATCAAACTGAGGTGATAGAAAGAGAAGTTAGTCAGCTCCAAAGATTGGAAGACGAGGTAGGTTGATGACTTGATATGGGGGAGGGATGAGAGGAAATATGAGTGTGTGGTAATTAATACAGAGGTGATGGGGAGAATGCAGCTACTCATAGAATCAGGATGAGGCATAGTCTCTGATTGCAGTCTGTTAAGATGGCTTAGAATGCGTTGGGAGGAGCCAAAGGGAAGGAAGTAGGCAAGATCAAGGGAGCAGGGATCTGAGAGCCTGGAGTACTAGACGCCACCTGTATGGATGCGGAAGTCAGTAGGGATGAGATGGGCTTGGAGGTATTAAGGGTGATGGAAACTTCACTACTGAAAATCTTCAGAGAGTGAAGAGATGTAACAAAAATAAACTACAGCAGGGATGGTTAGTGACAGGTATGTGACAGTGTCTGATGGTTCTCGCTTCAAATAGGCCGAAACTGGTTAGACAGGAAAGATCAATGGCATTCAGGAAATCACAATGGAGAACCCCAACAAAATTCCATGTCCAAGAAGGTGAGATGTGAGAAAGAAGCAGCCACACTAGAGGAGCTTCCCAGGGAAACTGTATCCTCAAAGGCAGCTTGGGTAAAGAACGTTCTGGAGACAATGAAATGACTTGGTTTTTGCCAAGGACTAATAGCAAGATCCAGGGATCGTAGGGGACGCTAACTGAGCTGGCAAGCAAGCAGTGCCTGGAGGGAGTGTCCGAGAGAGGAAATGACTTTTCACTTACAAGGATGAAAGGCAGAGCTGTGAGGTATGTTAGGGAGCTCATGGCGAGAAAGAGGACTTAGAAGCATTCAGTGATTTGAAGATGAAGATAGAACTCTGTGGAGGCTCTTTCCCTGCTGAATTCCTTCAGTGGGCTGTGTCCAAGTTGGAGAAAAATTAGGGAAATCCTACCAAGAAATGAAAGGTAGGCATTAATCAAGAGCTCGAAGGACCTATCAATACTCTTTCCTATTTTTTTGATCTGGCCAGGAGTATGCTATCTGTCACCCCTTCATGACCACATTTCCCCCTTTACCTAACTCAGACTCACAAATTTCTCAGTGAGTCACTCCTTTGAATATGTCTGCAGCTCAACTTTTGTTCTTTTTCATACCCACTGCTCTTCCCTTAACCAAAAATCTCACTAACTCTTACTTGATGTTCTTACATTATCCTTTTAACTAGTCTCTCCCATCTCCGCTCTCATCTCTTCTCCCTGATGTACTTCCATGCTGTTATCATCAGTGTGCTTCATGAAATCTTCTCAGCTCCTGCTTCAAATCCATCCATGGGTGTAGACTGTACACAGCACAGAGCAAACCTCTCTACCTGAGCAATGCGGGAAAGAACATAGGCTCTGGTCCTCACTTCCTAGTGCTTAAGGTGTTGAAAATTAGAATAATTTTGACCTGTGATATTTAATTTAAAAAAGTATAGCCAGTATGATCCATAACACTATTGAACATTTAAGGGGTTCCTCCTCTTACTAGAACACTGAGATCACTGGAGATCTATTCCTATTGTCCTTCTGGTTTCACTTCCAAACACCCTTTTACCTGCTTCTCCATCTCCGGTCTGCCCCATGCACTCACCACCATCTACTCCTGGAGCCCAGCCAAGCCTAAATAGGCCAGTCTTCATTCAAATCCTCCATGTTCTTGATCTCAGTTCTCTGACGTGCACTGGTTTTCTGCACCCAGTGCTTAGCCAATCACATGTGTGGCTCTTTCTCACCTTTTTTTTTTTTTTTTTTAAAAAAACTCAACTCAGAAAGGCAACTTTTTTCTGAAGCTTTTTCTGATTCCAAAGGTATTTAAGTTTCCTCTCCAGTGTTTCAATCACGTGGAGTTTGTGTAGGATTTGTCATTTGAACTGTAACTGCTAGATAATGTTTTTTTCACATGCAAATATGAGGTCCTGATGGGAGATATTGGATCTTGTTCAGTTTTAGCGTCCTGTAAGAGCACAGATGCTTACCACATACTGGGTGATAAGTAAGCAATTCATTGATGAATGAATGAATGAATGAATGAATGAATGAATGAATGACTGAAGTCCATAGATGTGGTACGTTCTGCATGAGTTAGGCTAGTCTGCTGAGACTGTGTATGTGTGTATGCGTGTGTGTGTGAATACTTATGAGCATATTTAGTAGAAATAAACAGAAATGTACACAGGGCAGCTTGATATAGTGATGGTTTATTAAGAGGATACTTGTGAAGACACAAGGACAGGATACAAAGCACAGTCTAGACATCTGGGACTGCACAAGGATGTTCATGCTTTCAGGTGACTCCTCCTGTTTCTGTTGGAATACATGTTTCTACTGTCTCATGTCCATCTGCTCTATCTCCTACTTCTCTATTTATTCCAGACTTTTGTGAACCCCAGTGGCTGCAGCTTGCATATTGTGCCTTATTGTGGAGCTGACCCTGGTCCCAGCTGAACATTATCTTTCTCTTTTATTGTTAGCCAGTGCCACTGATGCTGAACCACTCCTTTCTTTGTTGTCATGTCACCAATTCCTGGCACCAGAGGGTTAATAATTACTTATTATTTGAATTTTGTAAATATCCAATATCACCCTTTATTTTTTTCCTCTCTTAGTATGGCAGTTCTTTTTCTTGGGAAAAAAATCTGGCTCAGAGTCTATCCTTTGCCTAATACCAAGAGTGGGACTCACATGGCATTCACCATCAGCTACAGAACTCACCTTATGTAAAGTCCTTGGAGTAGAGTGAAGGGAGGTGGCTACTCAAGACCAGCTCGACGATAATGCCTGGAGATACTTCCTGGAGGTGAAGCCACTATTCATCTGCTTAAGAGGCGAGGCACTACCATCCTTGGAGGCCTCCTTTTGGGAGTTATCCAAGGACATCCTGAATGTGAGACAAAATATTCAGTTCCCACTGGGCTGACCAGCCTGAGATGCACTCTGTCTAGGTATACAGTGGGCTCTCCACATGGACATGTTGGGTTTTGAAACCCATGAGTGAACAAGGATGATTTCACATTTCCCTCCACACATCTTCCCAAGTCCTTAGCGAGCTCTAGAGACCTGACATGACTTATCCAGGAACATGCTGCTGCATCACTGGTGGCAAGCCAATGGGCTGTGGGCTGCAGCTGGCTGTTGGTAACACTGAAAACTCTAAAAGATTCACCAACACTGTGGTCGACTGAGGAACAAAGGCCTGTGTTGTTATCCCATCCCACCCCTCTGCTCCCCTGACAGGGTTAACCCACCATAAAGGTACAATTCCACTAGAACCATCACTTTGCTTTAAAATGTTTAACACCAATCAATCCATATGCAGGGCTCAACAGCCCAGAGGTGCCCTGTAGCACATCCTGGCTGTCTGCAAGTCTTTTGTTGGTGCTGTGGTACTGCCTTCTACCTCTCTCTGTGCATAAGCCTTCACAGGAACTGAGCTGGCTTCCATCTGAAGGTGGGTGGAGTGAGGAGGAGGGCTTTGTTTACTTTCTCTGTCTTTGGGGAAGTAGGGAAAGGTTTCCAGCATATCTTCCTGCCTCTTTTTCTCTAAGCAAGTGTGCACTTAATTTTCCTTAGCAGCCTCTTCTTTTTTTATGTATTTAGTACAGGGTCTACAGGGTCTTACTACACAGATCAAATT